TAGTAATACAATTTCTTGCAGGTGGTACGGTTATCCTGGCCTTGCAGTTTGCCAATCTTCTTCTTGAGGAAGCAGCAGATAATTCCATTTTTCCATCCATAAGAGTTGGGAATAAACACGATTCCCTTGCACTTATAGTTGGCATCGCACTCCGCTTGACATCCCTCCAAGCTCGCTGCGTTCTCATTGTCGTAGCAGTCTACTCTCCTGATTGTGTTGCTGTTGTGGTCTTTGTTCTCATAACATTCGTAGCTACTGTAGCCCATAACCGCAGACGGGTACACAGCGAGCAACACCGTGCCAACGGCCACAAGAGCCAGAAGCATCGCCGCCATGCTGCCAGACTGCTGCTGCTTCATCTTGATTCGTCTTCTTCGTGTTTTCTTTCAACTCCTTTCTTTCCTACTGCAGGAGCCTGGAGCTGCATGAGCTTCCACTGCTGGGTTACAACCACAGCTCAACACACACACATGACACATCGCATACAAGACAGACGGTATAGCACAAAGTAAGTTAAAAAATGACCTCGACCATCTCCAATCCTACAGGGTTAAGTTTCATGGAAACCTGTGAGGCTGTGAGAGGGCTCGACACCACAACCCTGGCTCAGACTTCCTGTTGCTCACAAACAGACACACACACACACAAAGAGAGAGAGAGAGAGAGAGAGAGAGAGAGAGAGAGAGAGAGAGAGAGAGTCTCAGAGTCTCAGATGCACAGAGAGAGAGAGAGAGAGAGAGAGAGAGAGAGAGAGAGAGAGAGAGAGAGAGAGAGAGAGAGAGAGAGAGAGAGAGAGAGTGAAGGTAAACTGCGGCAACACAGTCCATGCAGCATGCATGCTTACGGCGAAATCAGAAACAAAATCCTTGTTTTTCCTCCCTCCTTTGAGAACATTCAAAAAATTTCATCGTAATATACAAGGTTCTCCATCCTCCCTCTTTACTTTCCCGTTCCCCTTGCTCTGACCACGCCATAACCATTCCATCACCACCATCTCCTCCCTAAGCTTCGTAGCGCCCTGGACGCATTTCGTCCGCCTACGTGCGGACTCTTCAGGAGGTGGAATCTTGGATTCCGTAAGGGGGGGGGAGAGAGAGAGAGAGAGAGAGAGAATGCCAGAATGATGAAATAACTCGCAGTGGTCTCCGGGACTCTCCGGTACTCCCAGTTTTATCAAGTTACGCCGCAACTTGCGCCTGGAACGAAACCCAGGAAGGAACTTCAGGGAAAATTGACGGAGATGCAACTCTGGTGTTTCAAATATTCAACCAAAAAAAAAAAAAA